AGCTGAGCCGCGGGCGAACATGCGGGCGGGACCGCCAAAGCGCCGCTGCCCGGCACTAGGGGGCGCTGTGCCGCCGCGGTCCCACCGGAGGCTCGCGGGATTGGCCCTTCTGCGTCCCGGAGCGCCTAGGGACCGCTGCGTCGCAGCAGCGGTGGATGCCCGGGCTCAGTTTACGTCTTTGGTGGGCAGAGTTCGCTCCAGGCTTCGCGGCTCTAAGCCGAGGGGGTAAACTGGAGAGAACCCACTGCGAGGCATCCCCAACTGTCCTGGGGTGTCGGGAGGAGCAGGGCCCTTTCGCCCGCTCCAGCCGTCCAGCAGCCAGCAGGGAGTGTGGGGGGCCGGCGTCCTGTCAGCCAGCCTCCCCCCCACCACACAGTCCTCCGCCTGTCCTCGTCCAGCGCGCATCCTGAATGGAAGGGAACGGGAGCAGGCTGGAAAGGGCACGGGGTTTGAGTTAGGAGCCTGAAGCGCCCTTCCTGCACTGCCTCCCTTTGCCAGGTGATGCATTTCTTCATCCGTCCATCTGATTGAGCGCGTGATATATGCCAGGCATTGGCAGCAAAATATAGCTCTGTCCAGGAAAGCTAACGCTCTAGGTATCTGTACTTTCTCTGAGGGTGAGAGCTTGCACGTCACTATGAGTTGAAATGAGCCAATGTATGAAAACACTTGTGAGCAATGTTTGAATCCCTTCTGGTTAGTTAATCCTCCTCCAGCATATGTTAGCAAGCCACTTTCTGGCTTCTCATTCTCCCCCCTTCTTTAGTCCCCAGCAGCAGGTTGGGTTCTAGAAGTAGTCTGAGACCAGGACCAGCAGATGGTGGAATGGCTGCATTGCTGGGCTTCCATGTTGTTGATCGTGGTTGGAGTCCCGGACCCCGTGGCTTAAACTCACGCTGCTTTCTGTCCGTCTCTCTCTGTCTTTCTGTTGAGCACGTGCCCTATAGCAAAACCCTCTCCCTCCACCCCGAAGGAAAAAAAAAAAGTAGTCTGAGACCAAGGACCAGGCAAAGCAGGATGGATCCCAGGCTGCCTCCACTGTCACTCCCCTCTGTGCCCCGTCTTTGAGGCACGCCTCTAATCTGGGTCAGCCTCCTCTGATATGGTAGAAGAAACGCCCTTGCTGTGGGAAGTCACTTTCCCCTTGGAGATCCGCCCTAAGTGACTTTTGCACCTTTCCTGGACTCTGGGGCAAACGCTCTGGCCAAGAGTGAGCTCAGCCGTTCCCTTCATCCCGAAAGGGCCTTTGAGGTCAGAACACAAGGTCTGAAAAGCCAGCTGAGGCTATGGCCAGACACAGAGTCTGGATTTACCACAGGTGGGCTCTGGGCCCAAGCCTGCCCAGCATCATGGCTCCCTTGCAGAGTGGAACCACACCCCCTCCAGGCATGAGGAGCCTGGCTGTCTGCAGGAGTAGCCTCCTCCCGTGGGGGTTGGGCACATGCAGGGGCAGACTGGGTCAGGCCCATCCTACCTGCCCGGTCTGTTCAGTTTCACACCTCCACAGCGACTCCCTCCACTCAGCGATTCCTGCTCTAGCTCTCTGGTAAAAGAGAAAGGTTCTGGGATCTTTTTCCCACAAGCAGTGGCATGTGTGAGTGTGTGTGTGGGGAGGGTGGTATAGTATCTCAGCTGCTCTCCTTTTTTAAAATTTTTTAGGTTACTGGCATAGGGTACAGGAGCTCCCCAGAGAGGAAAGTGAGAAATTAACTCCCAGGGTGATGGCCATGCTACAATCCCTTCTCCTTTACTCTCCTCTAGGGATGTTTGGGCATCCACACACACACGCGCGCGCACACACACACACACACACACCTGGTGTGATTTTCAAGCTGCTGGGTCTAGGACTCAAACTGTGGCTGATTCCCATGTGGGACTCAATCTAAAACCTTAACTACCACACCACGAGCTGGGCCCATCAACTGCTCTCATTTAAGGGGCTTCATTTCCTTGTCCCTCTGTGGGTCTGAGCCTGCCAGTCAGATCCCTTTTGAGCAGTCTTACATGTCCACATGGAGCTTTTTCTGGGGTTGTCATTTTTATTTTTTGAGAACTATTTAATTATATTTATTATTATTATTCAGTTTGGAGAGAGAGAGAGAAAGAAAGAGAGGGAGAGTGAGAAAGCAAGCTCCAAGACTCATACTGCAGCAGCCAAGTGGGAGTCCAGCGCCTTAACCACTACGCCACCTGCCAGCCCCATCTTCTTTTTCTTAAGTTTTATTTATTCCAAGAGCAAGAGAGACAAAGATAGAGACAGAAA